ATTGAGAAGTCAACTGCAGGCCTGGCACAGCATGCTTGATACTGGAAAAAACACAGAGAAGAAATGCTTGGGGACAAAAAAAAAGTTGAAGCAGAGTGTGAAGGGATTTCTCATACAGCATAACTCCTCGTCTAGGCTAGTTAGTGGCATTTGATCCCCTTCCCATTTTTGCCCCTCTGAAAGCGCTTATTAGTTAGCCATGGAAATGGTGTATTACAAGGATGCCACAGGAAACAGGAGAATTGTGCTAAGTGATTTAGGGGCTAATTTTAAATCCTTTTAATTATTTTTTTTTTGGTCATGCTGTCAGCTGTTAGCCTGTGAAAGCAAAATGAATAATGACACATCAACCCATTTTTCTTGGAGGAGAAGGGAGAGGAGAAACAAGATTAATTAATAGTGGAAACTAAGCTTGCTTGTTTATACTCAGGGAAAAGTTGCACAGGATCCAGGAGGCCAGGCTGTGGCTGTTACAAATGAGCCTGGATGGTGATGGTCTTGCTGAGGTTGCCAGTGGGTTGAGGCTTGTTGCCTGTGCATTGGACACTTCTGGGCACTCACCCACTGAAAGGGATGGAGTATGCAACATGGGAGCAGGGCTATGGGTGCAGCCCTGGGCAACACTCCTTGCACCAGCATGTCTGCTGGGACTGTAGGTCTTGAGGGGCATGGAGAAGTAAACCCTGGGTTTGCTTTCATTGCCTTATTTCCCTCCTGTGCCCTTTGAAACAAGGCCCTAAGGACAATACAACTTGACATCGTACATGTGAAAGGCAGTGCTGCCATGACCTCCCTTAAACTCTGTGGGGAATGCCTTCCTGAGAAGGCACATGACTCCAGACATGTCATGCCCAGCAAACTAGCAAACTTTCATGTAAACCTGTTCATGCTCCTGGATGACAGCGGACAACTGGGGGATGCCCTGGTGTCGTGTGGGGGCCAGTGTGAGTGACAGGGGATGCTGGTGGCTGGGATGGGACAAGGATCCAGGTGAAGATAGGGCAGATGGCATGGTGCCTTTAAGTCAAGCCTTGGACTCCCTGTTTAATGCTAGGAGAGTTTTGTGAAGCAGGGATGGAACTCCAGGGAGAACTTGTGGTTATACCACATCTCGCCCCAAAACTGACTTGCTCTCTGACCAGTGTTAACATTTACAGAGTCAGTTAATGATGCCCAGCTAAATAACATGTGCTGTGCTTTTTAGTGCTGATAAAACTAGCTTAAAAAAAATTAATAGCATCCTTGTGGGAAAGTCCATGAAGAATTGTATGTACAGTGAGAATTTAGAAAAGGTTTTAGCCTGTTAAGTATTAAAAATTATTTGAATACATTTTTTTCTCCTACAGGGTGCTAGTAAAATCAAATCAAATCAACATAAGACTTATATCAAGATATTAAATCCTTCTATGTGCAGCCTTTCAAACATGCACATTATGCAATTAATTTCACATCACTTTAATTTATACATAATTAATGACATATATGGTCTAAAATTTGCTGGTGTAAAGTTTTTTCTTCTTACAGGTCTCTGGGGATTTTAAAAAGAATTTAATTCCAGGAGGTGGTTCCACTGATGTAATTTCATGTATAAAGCAAAATTTGCAAGTCAGTTTTTCAAAGGATTTTAATTTAACTCCTCATATGTTAATGCAGCCATTTATCTCCTACTACAATCTTACGAGTGAGAATTAATATTACCTTGTGATAATAGTAATAACAAAAGTAAGCTGGGTTGTGAGTGGTTTCTTAAATTTGGACTTGTAATGGGTTTTCCACAGTTCACAGCTTAAGCTAATGACATTTGTGGGGGCATTTTTAATAAGAACATGAACTAAAACCATGAAAAGTATCACCATCTGGTTTTTCTCATTTGCTGACAATTATAAGAGATTCCAAACTAAAACTGACCTGAATTTCAAGTTAGCCTATTCAAAAGATGCATTGTTTGTACCCCTGAATACAAGTCGTTAGTCAGATAAGTACAGTTTATTAATGAAGAGAACTTACAAGATCTATTTCTATTATATTTAAAGCTGAAGTGTAAAAATAGTACCAACTGCCAATGTCCTTGGCTGGGTGCACTATGAGTTTAGTATTAGAAATAGTGAATATATTGGCTGACTTGAGGATCTGAATTTTAGCTGTAGACCTCTCCTTAAATTCCTAAATAATCTTCAGTCCACTTCTAATTTACAGACCTGGAAAGGAATGCATATATGCATATCATTTACACATATCTGTACGAACTGATTTACATACCTAGATGTGGGTTTACACATAAAACTTCACTTGGAAACCAGAGGTGAAAACTGGTAATTTTCACAGTTTTAAGTGGCCATAACAGTTTATATTTTTTCAATATACTAGTTTGTCATTTTGCCTAATGCTTACAGTGCTTCCAAAATCTGGCAACCCTAGAAGAACTCAGCAAAACCAAATGTCAAAGTTATACAGCAGAAAAAGGAATGTACACTACATTATGATTACTTCAGTAATTCCCACATGCCCTTAGATCTGGAATATCCTATCACTATTACCATTTTAGTGAACTGATCTCCGCTAACACTTTGACAAGGGTTGTTGTTATAGCTGTATGATCCCTTCTAAAGCATGAAGAAATTGGTTAGAAATTGAAAAGGGGAGGTGGAGAAAAAAAATAAAAAGGGGTTTATCTCTCAGGGTCTAGAATCTGCAGGCTAAAAGGAATGATTGGTCCATACCCATAAATTCAATCCCAAGATGCTCTGCCAATGCAGAAAGTTGTCAAAAAAAGAAAGAAAAAGGAAAAAGTTTCAGAAAAGAGCAATACACTGTACTCAAAAATAAATCACATATGAGAATTATGGCTATTCTGTGTCTGGACATGAAACAGGACAAAGGGGCATGTGGTTGCATGGGCAGTGCTCAAGTGCACCATTCTAATATACATGACAAGACCTTCTGCAAGGCTTATACACAAAAATATGTATGTGTGGGGGATCTGAGCAGCTACAGTGCAATGAATGCAGCAGGAACCATTAACTCTTAAAGATCTTACTGAGATGAATGGGGCTATGGCACAAGGATGCCATGTGCAAAGGCCAGTAGGTTTCAGATGGGACCATGAGAGCAAAGGGATGCTTTACAAAGGGAAGCATCACCCTGCAAATGGGTTGTGCATTGCTCTCCCTTCTGGCCATGCTCCTGTCCCCAGAATGTATATCCTTACTCTTGCTGGTTGTGACCTGGAGGTGACTGGCAGTGTTTGCTCAGCAGTGGGAGTCCTTCCCTGCTTTGCAAATTGACTGCAACAGGGCTCTGGCTTCTGAAAAATGAGGAGAAAACCCTTTTTTTCCTATTCTTGGACTGTGCTGCCTTGGCAGAACAATGTGTTGGCCAGTTGGATGGATGCAGAGGCTAATGCCCTTTACACAGATCACATGCCTAAATCAGCACCCCCAGGCCCCAGCAGCTGGGGGTGAGGAGGGACACAGGTTTCCCCCCAGCAGGTACCCTAGGAGACCCTTCCCATGGGCCCAACACCATAGCCATGGTATCTCTTTGTTATTTTGCTTGTGTGCTGTGAAATTTAAATCCAATCCTAATTTGCTCATCAAATTGATTTTTTACTGTAGTTTGCACACATGGGGAATGCCAATTCTTTGTTGCCAATTAGTAATATTTTAAGGGTTAAGTAAGTTGGAATCCATCCAGGTCTCTTCCTAAAGAGCCAATATTACATGCCTACCTGAACTCTGCTAATGATACACGTTAGTTGCACAGAAAGCTTGGTTAAATCTTCAGTAAACTGAATGACATGCCCATGCATATATATTGCTGTATTTATGTTTGCTTATAGGCAAGACACCTAGATTAGAGGCAATTTAATTTTAGGGAAAGTCATTCATATCATGCAGTTTCTATTTCAAATAATTCAATAGGAAGTTGGCACTTAAAATGGGAATATATTCTGGCTGAAAGACCTAACAAGAAAACATGCTGAAGAAACATGCATTGCTTATTCAAACCTAGATGTTATGTAGCTCTTATTTATCTTTGGTATTCCCAGGTACATTCCCTAGGCCTATGTGGTGGTGCATCCCCTCCCACCCCCACACGGCCATACTGTGATCTGAGAAATGCTGGTTAGGCTCAGCTGTGACAAACAGCACCTGGGCTAAGCTCCTCTTGAGCTTATCAGAAACCCTGTTTGTTCCCAAGAACTAGTGCTGTCTAACAAGCTCCTGTTTTTTAATGAACAGCCTTGGAAACTACTTTTCCCTTAATAACAACTCAAGAGGAATAATATTTCCATTATCAAACTCCTGAAGAAAGTTACCAACCTGACTTGTGGCCAGGATGGAAAATTACTATGACTAAGGCCAACTAACTCTCTTGTGACCCTATAAAAGTGAGACCCCTTGAGGTTTCCTGGACCACAGCAGGTTTTATCAGCAATCTCCCTTTGAATGGGACACCACTCAGACCTAGCAAACTCTCAAGTTTACTATACTTGGTGGACCACTGAACAACAGCAATGGATCCTGGGCTGATATCTCCACTCTGTGAGGCTCAACCCTTTGCCCATTGAGAAGATGCAAAGGCATCCGACGTGAGTATTTCTCTGAATTTGAGGGGAATTTTTCGCTGTATACCTTGTAGAGACTCCTTTAAGTCTGTGCATGTGTGTGAATATGCTATAGCAAATGTACTATGAATGTTCCTCTTCTAGATTCTTAAGTACATAAGACTTATAAGTCAGTTAGGCCTGTGAGCTACTGTTGTGCTACAGTAAATTTTGTATGATCCTTTGTTAAATTGTTTAACTTATCAAGTAAGTGCTGTTAAGTGCTGTTAAAGCTTAAGGCATAAATTGTTGGTCAAGTTTGGCAAGGGGGTCTACTCTGAACCTTGTGACTCCACAGGAAGGTCTTTCTTACTCCACTTTATCCATACCCTTTGCTACCCTTATCCTTTTCTTCCCCTCACCCAGCCTTTATGTAGATAATTTTTGGGTTTATTTTGGTTGAAGATTTATTGATTTTAGACTTTTGTTTATTTTTTATCTGAGAGCTTTAACCCAGTAAGCAGTAAATGCCAATGAACTTTGTCAGGCTTTCTTTGTTATATTAAACCTGCTTTTGCCAATACCTTTGCCTGTGATTCTTTAAGAGACCTTAAAATTCTCATTTGTGACAACCTGATCAAAAGAAAGCAGAGTATCTCAACACTCCTCATTTTATAAACAGGTAACTATTTCTGATCTTTTCCTATTTAACTTAATATTGTTGCATACTTTTTACACGCAGTGTGATTTCTGTTGAATATATGTCTAGGTGGTCTAAGAAGAAATACAATTAACTATTTCTAACAACTCAGTTTTCATTCTGGATGTGACTGAGGGGACATGACATTATTGGAGGAAAAAATACTTAGGAAGCAAATTTTTTTCCCCAAAGTGACTTAAAACTACAACTCACTGGATATATTGTAGCATGCTGAGTTGCAGGGTCTACAGAACAAGAGGATGGTGCCTGGAAATACAGAACAGACCCTCCCAACAGCATGCTCTGTTCATGAGTTGTGTGCCACAGTTGCTGGGCACCCAACATGTTGGGATGGCTACTGTATAGATTTAGGTGTGTGGGTAGCCTGGAGACATGGTGCTGCCCAGTGAGGGATGAGCACTTCCTCAGGTTTTTGTGGAGACCTTGTACTTGACAAAGGAAGGACCCATTTGGATCAACTGCAACGGAGAGAGGTCCAGGGAGACCAATTTCAACTCTGAATCATCAAGGTGCCATGTTTCTTAAGTCATTGTTTAATTGTCTTATTAAATGTGTACTGTGAGTAATGAGAAATTCTAAAAAAAAGGTATTATTTTTCATATCATTTGAATTGAAAACAAACTAAAATCCCCCTGAACTATCACAGAGCAGAACCCCTACATGTGTGAGGGGCTGGGATACTGTCTCTTTGTAAGGTTTAGGATCCACTTTGTATTTGAAATCTTGGTTCATTTCAATGGTATTCAAGCTGCAAAATCAGTTTTGAACTTAGGATGTTAAGTTCTATGGCTCCGATAAAAGTGCTATCCTACAACTGCTTGGAGACTCAGAAGCATGGAAAATTTGTCCTTTTCTAATTAAACTATTCTATCATAGCATTTTTAGCATTTAATGAGCATTAACTGGGTGGTTTATGCTGAAAAACTGTCTTTTTTAACCTTGAGAAGAATGAAAGTGACATTTTTGAATTTGTTTGTATCATTTAGGAGTCTTGGTCTCAGCGCATATATTGTACAATTTATGGTGTGGAAAGGCTTTAGAAAATAAAAATTTCAGTTAGGATTGTCTAGTAGCCTCATACAGATGTGACCACTTGAGAAATGTATAGAAACTGAGAAATACTGAGGTAGTAGAATATGTAAAAACAGACTTTTGAAGGTATGCAGTTTATATGAAAAGACCAAAAGATCAAGGCTGTCACAGAGTAACAGCAGTTTTGGTCATCCTTCTAGAATAGCAGGACTCTGCTCAACTCTCGCCCCCTTTAATTCCTCAGCCAGCTTCATCTTGACAGTATGAGGCAGGGCTGCCATCTAAACAGAACTTTCCCTCTGCCCCTCTTGCTCATCAAGCATGGCAAAGCTGAAATGGACACAGTTTAAATTGGTGCCCCTGCTGAAGAAAGGCATGGACTACATTTAATTCATGCCTAAGAAGGCCCACAACGTGGCCCTCCACAAGCTGTTCTAAATTCATGATACATATACAGATGTTAACTAATTAAGTAAACAAGTTCATTGGCCCTTTGGATAGGGTACTTGGTCCATCTGGGGTATTTGGGAGGATAAAGAGTTTACCTGTGATTACAGGTAAACAAGGTAAACAAAGAGTTTACCTCTAGAGAAGTTTCCTCACCCTTCCATTAATTCACAGTTCTGCCACTGTTTCTTCTCCTAAGAATCATTCCGCATAGTGTTGCTGTAAGAGTTCTCATGCATAACAACATAACAATTAGGCAAAACTTTAATTATTAATTCATTACTTTTCCTCCATTTGCCTTGATTCCTTGACTTCAAGGGAGTGAATGTGTGAACACTGAGATACAAAAAATATATCCTTTTGGAAAAGATGTATTTTTGCAACACTGTGTGGACTGGCTTCTGCAGTCTTACAGGCCAATGGTGGACCATGATCCTCAAAGACAAAATGCTCACAGCAAAGAGCCAGAGTATTGGGGGAAACATCTAGTAGCAGCTGTTGCTGCTGTGCGCAAGGAAAGGACATTACAAGGTCTGCCAGCTAGGCTCCAGACATGAGCAAAACACTAGCACAGTTAGTTCTTTAGTTTCCCTTGGTCTGCAGTGTCAGTATGCACCAGTTGAAGGGGAAAAATTGGTATCTGCAATGCTGAAGGTAACTGTGGCAGTGGGGAGTCTAATAGCCATCACACCTCAGCAACCACAGGTTGTCCTACAGTTTGGTATGTGTGCAAGGCTGGAAGCCAAAGGACAGTCAGTCTGAACTTGTGCTTTCCAGTAGTCTCCCTCACATCCATCCCAGTTATGCTCACACTCACTGATGGAAAGACATTTCTATGGAGGAACATTGCTTGAAATGGAGATCCACCAATTTTCCATGTCCTTTTTCAATCTAATTCTAGTGCACCATGATAACCAAATTGTCCAGGGCTAACCAAATCACTGCCAAGATAAACTAGTTAGCCTTGCACTCCGTTGGGACAGGGAATTTCCAGAATGCTCGGTGGTAGCCTTGTTCTGATCTTGCAAAAGGCCCTCAGCAAAACTTGTAATTTTAGGGCTCTCAAATACCAATTCCAAGGGCAGATATTTTAAGCTAACTTTTCTGCAACAGTCAAGCTAGTAACAGCTCTTCAGTAAGCACACTTGGCTCCCACTGACTCTTTCTTTCCAAATGAAGAAAGACCCTTCTGAAAGCAAGTAAAATTAGATCTCACTGTATAGTTCACATATACACTTCTGTTTCCTGCTGGCACTTATGCTGTTTAGCATCCTGATTTACTCAGTACATTGCAAAAGCTGCATCTACAGAGATAAGTTAATCATCCACAACACTTGGTGCAAAATATGAGCTTGGCTTTAAGTCCCAGATGTAACATTTGCCTGAAGAGAACTCTCATTCTAAGCCCCCTTTTAAATAGTATGCTCCTCTCTGCTTTGGGTGTAATGATTAAAAGTCATGTAAATGCTTCTTCCTAAATTTTTTTTTGGCTGACTATAAAGGTATCCTAAATGGACCCTTTCCAAAAGTGTCATTTCAAAATATTTAGTAGTATAGGAAACCAGATGTTGTAGTGCAGATGCAGGATGGGCAGAAGTGCCAGAGTCTCATAGCCATTGACCAGGGCTCTCAGAGTAGCTTAAGGTAAGTAGTGGTGTGCTCTCCTCTCAGTGCATTTCAAGGAGATGAAGGGCTGGACTAGGATAAGTTCTTGTAACTGAGCATCACTCTTGCAGCAAGGCAAGGGCATCTATGCCTTTTCCATGGAGGCAATTTCAGAAATCTGATGCCTTTAACAATCCCAACCAGAGTTAGGAAACTGAAATACTAATGAAGGAAAACTCACCTAAAACTGCCCCTCTCCCCCATCTCCCCCCACCCCAGGTAGGAAAATGAATTTGTAATCAACATACAATGCTTCCATCATTTTCAGTGTCAATTCAGCAGCAAAGAATCAATCTCATATTTTTATATCACCTCATTTTAAATTATTCTTCTACAATCAGAAAACCATAACTGCACTCTGCACCACAATATAAAGAAAAGGCCACTTAAATCATACATTTGATAAACAAATACTGTAACAGCATAAAATTTTTCATAGCCATAGTTACCAGAGGCATTTTAAAAATAACTCACACTAATAAAGCTTTTAAAACAGGGCATAAAATACACACTTGAGTGCTGGAAGGTCTGGTCTCCAGTCAGCACCCCTGGGATTCACATGGGTAGCTTCTATGATAGGCAGTATGAATTATGTATGGACATTTTTCATCCATCAGTACAAGAGAAAACCTATGCATCTCTTCAGGCTCCAAAATGTCCAGCACATGCTTACAGCTTTTTGTCCTATATACTAATGGAAATTAAATTACGCTAGCCTATAGTCTTTCTGTGCTGGCAAGTAATCCATCAAAAAAAACTGGTTCCTATAATACGGCTCTTAGATCACAGTACATTCTGATGCCAGTGACAATTAATTATGAATAGTACACATGCATTAAAATGTAAGGTCTAAGCAATTTTCTTATATGTTACCTTTGACTTGGCTATGGCCAGTGTGAGAAAATAAATATTCAGTGTATTTTCTGTTTCCTCCCTGACAAGTAATAGTAATTAACTCCTCCATGGGAAAGCTTATGAGATATGACTGCAGTGCTGATTCTACCAGGTCTGACACAAAGTCCTCTGTGTGTGTGTGTGTGTGTCTGGTTCATTTATTTGGCCAATTAATTTGGCTCTGAAATATTTCACCTCTTGCACCTATTACCCACAATATACCCAAAATATGTCAGACCCCATTGTTTAAGCCATCTCTCCTCCTTTCCTTTCTCTTTCTGTGCTCTTTTCACTGAAACCCGAACAATGAGGAGGAAGAACACTTTGGTCCTATTTGGCACATACTTATTAGAAACCATGTAAGCACCTCAACTACCTTTAACCCACAGTTCGAAATGCAAATCTCATATATGTGTAGAGGATTAGCTAGCTACCTGTCCCCTTGTTGCCAGAGTGCTGCCTTGTATCATGACTCATAAACTTTTTGTGGCAGATAAAATGAGGGACTTTCAAAATGTCATTTTTGTACTTTTACTGCTTGATGTCCATGGGGAGTCATTATCACACATTCAGTGTTAATTTCACAATGTTCCTAAGTCTTGCATTTCTCCATAACCTCAATGCCAAACAATCCAGGAGAGTATTGCAATTGCTTTTTGTTATAATTTTCATGCAACAGGCAGAGACAATCAATATTAGGCCTTAGGCAACAAATCTAGTTACGGATTAAAAAAAAACTGGAGGAAAGATGCAGTGACAAGAAAGCAGCACCGACTGAGCATGCTTCTACTGCGGCACAGACAGAAAAGTAGTGGACGTACTGTAGAAGCTGGCCATTACGTAGTTTTGGCAGCGATCACCAGTAAATTCATTTGGGCACCTGAGAGGAAAAACAAACAAAAAAAATGGTAGAGAAAAAAACAGAGAAAAGAGAAGAGTTGAATATATGCTAAGAAAGAAGCTCCTTCAGTGTGAACTGATACGACTTGGTGAGTTCACTTTCAGAAACTGAATCTCGGTTTAGCGTTTCAAAATGGCTCAAGATGTTGAGAGCAACTCATTTGCTCTGTAGAAATGTAAAGATATACCCCCCTGAGAAACGAGCCAATACCAAACCAATCCAGATCAAAGTGTGTTTCAACATGTGAGGCAGAAATTCACCATTCCAGAATCCCAAATTGCTTTTAGGATGCACTTTCCACAATGCAGCAAGGACACAAGATCTGTACATCAGTCATCTCCATGAGTTTGCTCTTTTAGGGTTGCACTTTACAGCAGTCTCCCAAACAAGAAAACTGCCAGTGTGTGCAAAACAAATGCATCTGCGAACGGATGGAAAGATCAAAGTTCACACAAATGAGAAATATTTTGGAGGTCAATAATGCCATGGTGTACAGATTTTACTTTAGAGAATCAGGTCATAAATTAGTGAGTAAAGAGGCCGGTTCCAGCTGAACTGTGAAAACACCAAGTACTATTGATTTTGTTGCTGTAGTTGGGGAAGAAAGCAAAGTTCAGATTATTTTAACATACTTTCTTGGTTTTGGATTTTCATGGGCAGAGTTTCAGTACATCTTGCTCCAGTGAATCCAGGTTGGCACCTAAAGGGCAAAAATGTGATAAGCAATAGTACACTAAAACCACTGCTCTAACAGAATGACATCTGCTGGTCTATGGAGTGGGAGTGCATTAAGTGACCTCCTGGTTAGGTGTTAGTGAAAAATGATCAGAAAAGAGGCAAGAAAGTGTAACCTTTCCAAAAGATGACACTTTGTAAAATGTATAGCAAAAATCCACCAGAGAAAAAAACATAGAAAGTCTTTTTGCTTGTCTGCTTTGAAAAAGAAAGAATAATGGCTAGCAAAAAAGTGTACCAGCTCATTGCTTACTCCAACTCATGAAGGCACCAGATTGAATTCTTTTTAAAATTTGCAATGCAGTGTATAACAGCAATTTACACTGTTCTTTCACCAGGCGCATAAAATCTATGAAAATACCATGACTTCCCTATTTCTGTAATGACATGAAGTGTCTTCCAGTAATTTCCTTTGAGGATGAATAGTTAATACAGCAATCACAGAAAAGCCAAAAACGTCCGAAAAGTGAGAACACAAACTCAAACCCAAAGGGAAGTATATTCAACATGGCTGACAAATGGAAAAATAGTCAGTCCAGTAAATAAGTAAGATGATAGGGCAGAAGTGCTCAGAAAATCTGAAGCCCATAGCTGTCTGTCCTTTCAGTTCATAAGCTCCTCTGCAGAAAACTCCAGTGCAGCTTTCCCCTTGGTCATAGTGAAGGAATTTCTCTTCTGTGTTTTGTCTGTCTTTTCTGTTGCTGTCTGTCAATTCTTCCTTCACCTTTATTCTTCATTTTGGGGCAGAGCTCAGGCATTCAAAATATCACCACAGCAATGCAGGCTCCTGTGCTGCAGACCTAAGCACGAATGACTGTCCACCACTCTAAATATCTACAGATTTCAATCTTTTTTCTTCCTCCTTCTTCTATCCACTGTCTTACTCCTCATGTGACTTGAAATTACCTGCTATCTGCTTCCTTGAATACACACATCTCACTTGTGTTGCCTGCTTTTGTGATGCTGTCCTTGAGTTTGCCATGGTGCAAGAATTCCTCTCTCTTTTTCTCCTCCTGACGATATGGTGCTAGCCTTCTATTCAAACTGCTTCATCATTTACTTGCTGGGGCTGAAGAGCCTTCTATTTGCAAATGCATGTTGTTTAGATCAATCCTTCATCTCTTCTATCCATCTGTGTTTCATGTGCATTGAAAGCTGTCCCAATATTTTAAATTCTGGTCTTCCACAAATGACTCTAGCCTTAGGAGACATGGATGCTGCCCTTGCGCAAGTGGGACTTTCAGTAAATCACTTTGGCAGAGGATCAGTATTAGGCATAAACACTAGTATCTTGTTCAAATAAACCATGCAGGGATGCTTTTTGTATAATAAAGGTATATTTTGAGTATCTGCAGATTATTCTTTGGAGTTGATTTGCTGTAATGACATATTTGTTTATTAAGGATGGTACTTTCTGTTCCTCAGAGTCAAGGTCACATCTTTCGATAAGTACCCAGTATGGAGAGATCCCAGTCTCCACAGATAAATTCAGATGAGAAAAATGCAACAAAAATAACTGTCATGAAAAAGTGATATTGCTGGACATGACAGAGGAATTTTTCCATCTTTGATAGAAGGCAAAATGCCTTTGATAGAAAGTATTTTGATCTGTGCTACTGAATGAGAGTAAAAATAATTTGCACAATGGTTATCTTGTTAAATAACTGTCCCTAGAAAGCTGGCAATCACACATGCATGGCTTTCAATTCATCGGGAACTCTACATCTTGTTTGTCAGGCACAACCCTACACAATCCCAAGGAACATGCTGCTGATTAAAAGCCTCAGGCTCTGCTCCTGCCACTGGCCACTGGTGGTTGCTTGCTATGTCTGTGCTTGTTTTCAGATGTTGGTGCAGCTGTGGAGGTGATGAAAACAACTTGAGCACTGGTGTAGACAATGCTGAAATAATTTCCAGACCAAGCAGGGTCATCCCTGTTGAGATGGTGCTGAAAACAGTTCAGGTGTGTTTATACTCGCTATGAAACCATTGTCAGTAAAGGGGCTGCAGCACCTGTCTCTGAGAATGGGCCCAGGATGGGCCACCTGAGAGGAAAGCTGAGATGAGCCTGTCTGCGTATGATGATGTGTGAATACTAAAGGCATTTTACTGCTCAGATGTGCAGTGCAGCACTTTATTCAGTGCTGTTTGGAAGGTTGTTTCCTGTAGACTGTTCTTTTACAGTTTGCAATGGTGTCCTTTTCAGAACACATACTCAGATTTTTCAGACATTATTTCTTGTTGCATCTTTCTTTTCTAAATAATTTCCCATGTACAATTTTCTTTTGTGACTCAGATTATTTAGTTATTGTATTACCCAGGTGAAAACACAGTATCAGACCACATATACTAGAATTGCTTTTTTCCTTTACATACAGCAGTTGCAAAGAGTGGGTTTTGCACGTGTTCAGTAGATACTTCTCAGAACACCGAACACACATCATCAAGCTGTTTTACAGCAGGAGAGGAACGGCTGAAGGGATCAGGAGCTGACATTTCCAGTTCATTCGCTGCCTATCAACAAGTGCACTGATGCATTGTGGGAGAATGGTGTGGATTTTTTTCATGGGAAGCACTGTACTTCCATATTTAGTAGTCCATTTCATTGCCAAAGTCAGATCTAGTATTTCTATCCTGCCTCTTGATTGAGTATCTCTGGAACTTGTGTTTGCATCATTGAAACAAATTTTCTCTTTTTGCTGTTCTGAAGAACCTTATGCCCAGTTCTATTCTTCCAAGGCCTTTAAATGAAGACATATATAGAAAATGGCTACATCATTAAAAGTACATAATTCACTCTTTTTCTGTTAAGAAAAGCAGCAGCATAATTCTGCTAGAGAGATGCATTATTTTCATCCATTGACATTCAGATGTAAATTCATTTCTTCAGTAACAACAAAAGCCCTAGAAAAGATGATCTCTGCGAGCAAGAAATCAATTAGTCAGACCAGCAAGGCCTTCATGGTATGATACTTGAAAATAACATTCTAAAAGCGTCACAGATATTGTACTCATAAAGATTTTTCTTCAAGTAAGAAGGAAATGCTAGGAATTCTGGTATACATTTTGTATTTATTGAAAAAGCTATCTGATTTTTTTGTCTTCAGTGACCTTTGGGACACATTTCCAACTGAACAGGAATGGCTTAGAAATCTCAGGCTCATAGGAAGCCAGTAACATGCAGACTTCCAAAGTCTATGATGTTTTCAAAATGTGACTCATGTTTCTATAAAATTTCTGAAAATTTTTTACACTAGTTTACTTAAGCAGTCTCAAAACTTATTTCATCTGTCTCATTTTGAGACTGTTTTGTTCAGTCTGGGGCCATAATTAAAATGCGTGCAGGGAACATACATGCTACCATAGATGTAGCTATGCAATGTATTACTAAGTCTTCACATGCTTCTTAAGTATTTCACATGGTTACCTCTTGAAAGTAGGGAATTTTCTCGAAGTTCACACTAATACCCATGTGAGCAAGATCTGATCCAGTCTGGCACTATTATGTATTTTATAAAACGTATTTGCTTCTTTTTTAAAATACACGCCTAGATTTTAACAGACAACAAATTTAGGATCTCCTTAAAGAAAAAATAGAATAAGGGATTTACAAAACCAGAGATATCACTTGGAAAATTCCATGGTTGTTTTGAATCTGAGTCATGTTTTTTGGGTTAGGGATAAAACCAATTTAGAATGATATGGCTCATGCTTTAGAAATTTTGTTTTTGCTCTCAACAGATGGACCATATGGAAAAATGTGAACTTGCTACTGAGGCAGAAATATGAAGAGCAAGTACCATATTTCAAGCATTCTGTTTCCACAGGCATGTTCTGGGAGAAGATTTATTTTCTCAGAACAATGCAGGCAATGTGTACTGGTTAGATACTTACTTTAATTAACACTGAAATGCTAGAATTAAAAGTAGACGTCTGTATTTTTAACAAAACAGAAGAAAAATGTATTTTGTCTCTTCAGTTTCCCAGTATACCCACTTTCGAGTACACACACCTTTATTTCTTACATAGCTGTACTGCATCCTGTTTTACTATACAATATAAAGTTTTGGTTCTGGCAAGTATTAGAGGGCATAGCAAATGGTCCTGCAAAATAGCAGTGGCCCTGACTTTTCTCAGGATAAGAATCCTTCTCCACTGCCTTACTGTGAATGTGATTCACCCTCTCTAATTCTACAGCTCTGATGCTTTTTCCAAATAGGTCTTGGACCACCCAGGAAGAGATATATCTGCAAATTTGGGAATTGCCTTTTCTCTTAAGTGCAGCCCCAAAATTAAAGGTTATTTCATGTCTACAATAGGGGATACAAAAAAAAATAAAAATAAATGCCCACTTCATTCAAGTGTCTCTGAGACATTTTATTACAAAAATTAACCAATCTGTAACATCAAAGAACAAACACAGATCTCTCAATTAAAAAAAAATAAAGAATCCCCATACCAGTCAAAATGGGATACCTCTGAAACTGCCAAGACAATGTTAATTTTTAGCAGGTCTGCTAGATGCTCAGCTCTGCTACCCCGGAGTTTGCTAAACAGTTTTTCGATAGGAAGTTGAAACACACAGGTAGGCTCTCATAAACGCCCTGGAGAGTAATAGCAAACTGTTCATCTTGTAATGCTGGTTTACAATGTAAATTTAACACAAATCGTTCTCTCTCTCTCAAAAAAGAATCCAGCCCACCAGAGCCAGTACCTTGTCCATATTAACTTTAGCTAAAAATGATCCTAAAATCAATGAAACATTCATCACTTTCAGCAGCAGAGCAATCTGAAAAATCAAGGCAAAACAAAGCTCATGAAGTGCAGCTAACATCCTTTTACAACAAATCAAAAAAACCCAGAACATTATGGGGTTTGTTCTTTTTTGGTTTGGGCTTTTTTCCCCCCACATTTTGTTTTGGTTTGCTTTGCATTTAAAATTAACAATGCAGAGAAGCAGCTAATATCTCCCTGGCTTAATAAAAGCACCATAGACCTTCACCTAACTCACTCACCAAAGTTATGTTTACAATTAGTGTTGTTTCACTTTTAGTCCTAAGAGAATGAAAAATTATGCAGTTACACCAGGCAACAGTCTTTAACGACCACTTTCTCTGAAAAACAACAATATCCTCATAAAAGTGCACCCTTTCCACTCAGTCCTCTTAGGTTCCAAGGGTTTTCCCAAGGTTTAAAAGCTGAGTTATGTTTCAAGCTAGAGAGGAACACTCCCTATGACTAGTTCATCTCCAGGGGTAAATGCTACCAGGCAGGAGGTGAACTGCAGTGCTGTAGCTTTTTATGGATGTTCTCCAATGTAAAGGGACTATTGCAACAGCCCAGTACAGCAGAGGCCAGGACCTCAGAAAGGTGCACAAGCACCCCTTCAAACTAAACTCATATGACTTCCTGATTCACTATCCTCACACAAAATAGTGAGGACAATTGCCATGACATTAATTGGTTTTTAATGCAATTAAACACAACCAGCTGTGAATCTGGTCTCATCAGGAAGTGTTCAGTTACTACATCAGACAATAAAAACAAGTTTCTTCTGTACAAGGGGTAATTATCCAATGCAGTTATCCATTTTTTCTAAATGCAGTGTATTTAGTTTACAGTATCTGTTTCACTATTTCTAACATAAGGCTGAAGTTGTGTTACTTCATGCCATGTAAATATCAAAAGAGTTTGCTGTCTCATTATCACATGGGAAGATTTCCTGGTTAGCCTCTGCTATGCTTCATATAAAGAACAGAGAGGTCATTCTTGGTATGTTATTTTCATATCCACATGGTTAAAAATGAAGAAATGCAAGTTCAGGAGAAGAAATTGTTCAGGTGCTCCTTTAGAGAAAAAACATTGTGCAACCTGGTGGCTCCAACAAAAGAAGCAAATAGGATTTCTTACCTGCACAGGTATCTGGGGGGGTTCGGAAGGTCTTTAACCATGTAACACTCTCCCCCATTTACACAGAAGGCTTTCTGCTTTATGTCACATTTTGTGAGATGACTTGTCCCAGTTGTAGATGTGGAAGTGGCTGGAAAAGACAAGAGTGACAATATGGATTAGAGGCTTAGTTTTTCTTTCTGGCTGGTAAGTATACTTGTATGTGAGGGAAGAAGTAAGGTCGAGGAGGATCTGGCAAGTCCTGTCTGAGCTCTCTGTCTGCTTCTACTACAAGCATTAATTACCGGACTCTGTATTTTGGTCACTGACACAAGGAGTGAAGTTTTAAATACCTACCTCAGAGATACACAGCCCCACACTCAGCCTGGGAGGAAGAGAGGGTTTCCCTAGCCCTGTCCATCAAGTAACCTTACATTTCTGCAACATTCATGTGTATTTCATTAAAAATATGCAATTTATGTGCAGTTACTTATATTGCATTAATTGCATTTAAGTGATTTTGGAGTGTGAGGGTCATTATAGTTTGCTGATATAGTGGCAAATAAAATCAGGCCCTGGATGAGGTTTCTTCCTGACACTGCCTTGAAGTAGGTGTTTTTCAGTGAAGCTTAACCTGTGGCCCTGTGCCGTTTCAAGCCCTCAGTCCAGCCACTTCCTTATTCCCAGAGAAAAGGGTGAATGGCTGAACACTGAGTGCCTCTTCCTTTGGTCATAAACGAGAGCTGTGGCTACTCTGGTTCAACTATGTAGGAGGAAGAGGACAGGAAGGTTGGAAATATTGTATGTTCCTGTGCATATACAATTGCCACCCTTGTGTCCACAGGAATCTGATCCAGAAGCCAACCTAGTGTCTCCTGCAGATGGACTCATCTGCATGAGATGAGCATGAAGTATTAACAGTTTTGGATCGCCAATGCTGCAAGACACCTTTAGGTGTCTAAATTTCTGTGTAATGGAAGTACCACTCTGCCTGCAGTATTTCTTAGCTTACTTCCTGCTGCATTAGAGAGTACCTGGAGAAGGCAGAAGTTTTTCTCTAATTCTGACAAAACATAGAAGGCATTCTTGAAGCCAAAACACCAGTTAGTATCCAGCTCAGGAACCATGCCACTGACAGGCTATATGACTTCTGGCAAGTCATTCACGTTATGCATTTCACTTGATTTAATCTGCCTAAAATGGAAAAATTTAGTTGTAAGGTGCTTTCCACTGCTCACAGAAAACATCTCAAATTTTCCTCACAACAGGTGGGGTAAACAGCCTGTATGGTGGTGACTCTCTCTGTACACTGACAGCAGAGCAAGCTTAAACTCTTGAGAATATGCTCATAATTTTTAAATAGCTAGAACTAATTGAAGTGATTATCTGCAAACTGTAAATATGGTGAAGATTCCTGCATGTTTTTGTTTAGCCATCTCCAGACATACAGAAGGAAGAAATACTCTTACTGTGCTCAAAAAACCCTAATACTTTTGTTTCTGAAAGACAGCTTCCACCTGGAGGTGAAACAATGCTGTTAGCTAGTGACTGATTCCACTGGAGTTGACTTAGAAAGCTGCAAGCACCTACACAGAAGTTGTCTGATATTCAAAGCCTTTTCTAACACAAAGGTACCCAAGGGGCGTGTTTACAGTAGATGATGCATGACATTCCACCATTTGCTGCGCACATTGAATCCTTAGAAAACATGATTTTAACAGATTTTCTACCAACAAATATCACTTAGACATTTTGCGTTGTAGTATGATGTAGCCTCTGATACATTTTATTTTCATGCATTTCCCACCATCTTCCAAGTCAATGAATTTTTAGCACTCATCACATAGGAAAATGGACCACCTTGGCTGGCACCATTTTCAGAGTGGCTTTACCTATCATATTTCAACGAGACATAAGTTAGTAACTGGGATATTTAAGTCCTCCCTTTTACTCCATCAAAGTTCTCCCTGTACAGTTAACATCTGCCACATCTCTTCCTTCCTTTGCCATTAATCACCAGTGTGTCAGCTTATTTCTCTTTCTTTCATGCTGCTTTGCTTGCATGGGGTGCCCTCCTCTAGCAGGCCAGGAAAAACCCTCCTGTGACCTCTTCCAAAACTCAAGCTCTCTCCTGCTTCTCACTTGCACCCACCCATTGTGTCACATCTCCCCAGATCCTGATCGTGACTGGGTCCTCTTAGTGCTAAAGAAATACAAACATGGAGCAATAATTCCTCTTAATAAACACATTCCTTTCCCCTGGCCCCTCAAAGCATGATTTATAACCTCTCAGGCGAGGATAAATTTATGTCTTCTCTAGCGGCAGGAAAAGGGGTCATGTTTTAAGAGTAGTCTGACACGCTTTCAGCTAGGACCATTTCAAACAGGACCTTGCACCCAATGTCGACACAAGGCTGGCCAACAGACTGCCATCCACTCAGCAGGGAAGGGTCCTCATACTCGATGTCAGTGGGCTGGCCACCATCCTTGACATGAATTTTAGGATGGGGATATTTGCCTTGTAGAAGAGTCATTTCTTCTCCACTGGCTTAAAAGGAGCCTGGATTCTTAGCCCAAAGGAGATGCCTGATGTGACAGGCTATGGCATACCAAGACCTAGGATGTGACAAATGTGGATGAGCAAATACCATCCATATAGTAATGTGTACTTTGCAGCCTTTGTGAGTCTCAACAGGTAAACTCTATATTAAGTTTATCCCTGCTGATAGTCTACCCACTATTGTGTCCTTTTATCTTATTAAAAGACTTAAACCTGTGATACAAGCTTCCCGAGGATGTCCTTGAGCTGGGAAAGCTAATACATTAATTTGGAAGGGGCAAAAAAGCAATACTGTCTGCCACATTTTTGAAAAAGAAAGCCCCACCATTTTGCTACCCTGCTGGCTAATGTAATGTTTAAATTGAATAATGAAGGTAGATAAAGCAACAAGTGCACTTGTAGCTATCTGTAATTATTTTCATAATCTCACTTACTGCTTTTTCTGTAAGCAGCAGCTCCACCAAAAGCAGAACACCATGGAGTTTCAAAGTAACAGTTACTTCTCAGCTGATGTGATTCAGACAGCAGCAAGCAATTGCTCTGAACTGATCACTACAGATGGGAATAATCTGCAGCTCTTAGAGATATTTCACAATACAAGGGCTTTACACATATTTGTGAAGAGTGCCTTTACCCACGTTTTTGGCATCATATATTCAAGACTATTGTATAAATCTTGCACAAGAATTTTCTCTGCATTACTGATCTCCTGGCACCATAGTCACTGTCTGCCTGAGTTTTGTAGCTCCATTGGGTCAGGGGAAGAAAAAAGTCTTCAGTGAGTTAATTCTACTATTAATTTTTCTTTGCAAAGTATGCATAGTTTTCATGGCATATAGCCAGTATTCAATGTATGCACTTTCAGTCTATTTTGCCAATTAAATACAAGAAACACTAGCTATGGGTTTGGGTTTCACTGAAAGCCAGATAACAGAAGAAATGTGGGATTTGGGAGCAGGTGTTCATCAGAGCCCATTTCATATAGACCAAAACTAGCCCCAAAATGCTGCCTTTCTATACCTCTCCAGCAGACATGGGCTTGCAGTAGCCTATAGTGGGAATGACTGGCACTGGTGAGGTAAAGCACAACTATACACCACGTGCATTGTTATTTCTTCACCTAGTGAAAATCTGTACTTTTTTCTTTTCTCCGTTGCTTCGAGTATACAAGCACAAGACAGAAAAGCTGTTCAGTTCTAGAGTTCTATCCCAAACACCTAACTTACCAAAAGTACCAAATTACATGCATTACATGCAAATTACAAACTGAAAATATCATGCATGGGATAACATCTGAAAACTGCATACTCTGCCTCCCCTTCCTCCTTCACCTCATGCAGAAACACCACATTTAAAAAAGAAACTTCAGGCAGTGTGAACAAAGTACCTACTAATGCATATATCCACATGGCACTGAAAAACAATGAGATCTCTCCCATACACAGGAATTGCCTAAAGCCATTGACAAGAAGACAAAGAGAAGCTATTACATCTTTCAAAAGCTACTCTCTAAAAGGTGAATTACTGCTCTAAAACTATCTTAGGATCATTTCATGTCAAGCAGACACAACTTCATGTAATTCTGTGCTCACCTGGGGAATGTCTGACCCTTTTTTGTCCTGAAACAGAAAAATGCATTCTCTTTCTCTCTCTTGCTTTCCAAAAACCTCTCTGATGTTCTGTGGCCACAGCAGCAAGACTCCCAGACCCTGCACAGGTGAGGCAGTCTGCAGAGAGGAGACCTAAGGGATCTCTGAGTTCAGACTGAGAAGGAAGGGCTTTGCAACCTAAACAGAATAGTATCCATGCGTCTTTGAGCTGAGTTTCTGCATTGTTGGTGCAAAATCAGAGGACACACTCAAAGTCGAGTAAGGTGGCTAGTGAGATGCTTATGACTCAACTGAGACAAAATGGCAGCTACAGCACAAAGGAAGGTTCATCATTCTCACTGGAAGGTGACTTACTGGATGTATATATGCCACCTGACTGGACTACAGGTGGACACCTTTCCAGTCTCCTTTCGTGAACCTGCAGCTCAGGCCAATGGAAGAAGAAGAGTCATGCATGAGTGAAGGAGAGACAGAGGCTGAGGGTGGAGTGCATACAAATGAGCTTTGGGGTGATGAAGCATGTGCTCCTAGGTGAGAGCCAGATTTACTAACACATGTTCCTTCACTTGAAGTTAATTCATTTCATTGAAAGCACAATCCAAATCCCTCTTGCTGATGTGCAGTTTAGAGATGTACAGCCCTGATCTGCAGGGTAGATTGATTTCCCATGCAGCCCTGGCCATTGCACTTAATTCCTCTGTATCTCCATTTCTTTCCCACTGGGTACTGAGCCTCTTCAACTCTGACTTTCCTAATGAACCCAACTTGCAAGGTGCTTGCAATGCTGAAAACCTTGGCATTTCTGTACGGCACTGAATAAGGAAAGCTGTTGGTTTCAGAATTAATGATGGGCAGCAAAAGCTATATGGGTACCTTCAAGGAGAAGGTACTAAACCCTTGAGCAATCAAAAACTAGCTGCTTTCTGAACATACAAGAATTTCCATTTTGCCAGGTGTATAGAAAGATGTTTCATGTCCTTCATACTTAATTGTTCCT